CACACACACACACACACACACATACACACACACACGGAGATGCGGCGCCTCCTCGCACAGCTGACCGGGAACACAGGTAATGTGTCCGGATTGGTTCCCTCCCTCCCGGCGCGTACTTGTTGATCATCGGGCGGATCAGCGGGGCGATGTGCGGAGCGACGAGCCGGCGGGTGGACTGTGGATCGTGCTGAGGATCTCTGTGCCATGTCGGAGGCAGAGGAGGGGGAGAAGCATCGGCTCAGACCCTTTGCAATAGTAAACCAATAACGGCACCTCCTTTTTTTAAATGCTGCTGCTTCTTGTGTGTGTGCTCCAGCGGATTGATTGTTCCACAGAGCGGAACGTGCCGGTTTGATTCGGTGCAGGATGACAACAACAACAACAACTCACCACGGTATATTATTATTTCTAACAGCTTTCTTTATATGTAACCTGTGAATTGTAATAGATGATCAGAGGCACATACTCTGCACCAATATGGAGCCTTTGAACAACGATGGGGGATTTGCATTGACAACATCGCAGTTTGAGATGATCCAAATATCCCAGTGAGCTTGTTGCCATCCTCAGTGAGCGCTGCAGTGTGGAGGAAATGCATATTACGTTATTGTGCATCGTTGACTGTTGAATAAGTGTTACTCAAACCTTGATTTTAATGCAACAGCAGGATGGAAACTGCTTCTAATCGTTATTTATTTTCCTCTGCCTGCTTGTGCACGCCTGAAATCCAACATTACAACGTCTATATCATCACATACACACCCCCTGTTTATGTTTCAGTGCTGTATGTGCATTGTAATGTAAGCTGACATTACACTCAGGCTTATTGTTTGGGAAGTGTTGAAAACTTTGTGTGACAGTGGTCACATCTCTTCATACATGACATGGACACGACTGTTATTTTCTCCTTTTGTGAGGAGGAGATGTAATAATTTAGGTTTCCTCCACACAGCATCCCCATGGGAGCATGTCATGATTCAGGGAGTGAGCAGCAGTGTCCTGGTGTTTCAGCACCATTAGACTGGACAGCGCTCACTTTGTCCCACAGTCATCACTGTGGTGTCCTGCGTCTCCACCCACTGCACCGCACAGACTCCAATGAGCACAGGTAGAGTTCGAGGGCCCGAAAACAAACAAACGGTGCCTGATTTGTTTGTATTTGATGCACATTTGTAGTAAAGTTGTCGTTCAAACGGCTGCAGTTTTTCTGTGTGACAGGTTGTACCTTATGCAGACTTTGGCATGATTATTCCATCGTTTGGGAGAACTGAGGCTGCGCAGGTCTTAATTGGTTTGCTGTGCAGTGTTTAAAACAGAAAATAGCCAATTATACTGCAGCTCAAGTTGACATAGTTTAAATATTGTTGTTTGTCACCAGCCCAACTATTGTATAGAGTGTACTGACATGTAAAAACACAAATATTTGCATTTGAGAAGTTTTTTCTTAGGTTCCAGGTTCAGGTTCCAGGTGTCTGGGGAAACAATTAAAATGCCATGTACAGTAGAGCTGTTTTCACAAGAACTTATTGATATATTCATATTCAATAAGGCCTATTTTAATACTTGGTTTAGCTGCAGGGTGATGATTAAAACAAGATCAGATTCTAAGTATTAGTTATGCTTTCCAAATTTTTTTCCTGCTAAGCCTAAGAAAAGAAAACCTCGAGATTCTGATTCTGCAGCCTGCTAGTGGGTGTGAGTCATCTCTAGCAGCTCTATCTGAGGGTATGTTTATTAGCTCAGTTCAATGCACAATTTAAAAAGATTTCAGAGGACGATATATTATGTGATAACAGCGGAGATAATCATTTTAGTTATCTCTCCTAAACTTCCTTTGAACCTGCTGTCTTTTTATCTGAGTAGGTTTGAATGTCGTTCTGTTAAGAGTCATGGGATTTTATATTGTATGGTGGTTCTCTCAGTTCCCGCTTAGCTGAAAACAAAACAAACATTTTCAGGCTTAATCTTTCCCTTGTTAATTCCCAACGTGTGAGTCATTTCAACATCATCAATCTGAGGATAGCTTTATTGTTGATTCAGGGAAGGATGAAAACACAGGATATGAACCAATGACAGTAAACAGCCTGAAATAATAATTTACTGTAAAAATCTGTGCATCATTTTGCTGCTGTGGACCTTTTTAAACAAATGGCAGGAAATGCTAGATGCGGAATCCTCAATTACTTCCTGATTTTCAATCTATTGCAGCATTGTTGGTATATATAGTGAACTATTATATATGTTTTCACTAGTGTGTTTCATCTAAACTGTACAAATTGTTGTTTTCACCCTAGAACAGGCCCTTTATATTCAAATACTTTGTATTTACATCTTCAGCGGCTTCTCTCTACGGAGGCCGCCATGTTTTTTCTACACTGGACAAACTAAAAACCTTTTAAGTTTTTATGACAACTGAAGGCTACCACAGGTTCTCTATCATGTTTTGAAGCTGCTTCATGCAACTTCACCAATAGATGTCACTAAATTCTACACACTGAACCTTTAATTAATAAAAGTTTATCACAACAAAAGAAAGAACATAACAGAGAGTAACAAAGACGTTTTTATTTTCTTTCTTAACTCATCTTGTGTCCCAGTAGTTGTGTCCTAGGGCCGTTGTGGGGTTCTGACTGATGGACTCAGAGATTTTGGCCTGATTTAAGAAAACTAATTATGTCCTTTTTTATTCCTTTAGTAATGGAAGAAGACAGGACCAAGTGCAGTCCATAACACTGGATGTTTGCTGACTCCCACGCCATAAAGTCATCATGGAGAAATCCTTGGCTGAGTTAAATAAAGCTGGCTCCCGCTCAATGTCCTCGCTGCAACCTGAACCAGTGGACATAATGCGCAGCAAGACATGTTTCCGCAGAGTCAGGCTGAATGTAGGGGGTCTCCCTCATGAGGTCTTGTGGCGAACGTTAGACAGGCTACCACGAACACGTTTGGGGAAGTTAAGAGACTGCAACACCCATGAATCTCTGATGGAAGTGTGTGATGACTACAACCTCGAGGAGAACGAGTACTTCTTTGACCGACACCCGGGGGCATTCACATCAATTCTGAACTTCTACCGCACAGGGAAGCTGCACATGATGGAAGAGATGTGCGCACTCTCGTTCAGTCAAGAGCTCGACTACTGGGGAATTGATGAGATCTACCTGGAGTCCTGTTGCCAGGCGAGGTACCACCAGAAAAAGGAGCAAATGAACGAGGAGCTGAAAAGAGAGGCTGACAATTTAAAAGACAGAGATGGGGAAGAATTTGACAACACCTGCTGTGCTGAAAAACGGAAAAAACTTTGGGACCTCTTGGAAAAGCCCAGCTCATCCGTTGCAGCAAAGGTAATTTTCGTTGGTGGATATGTGAAAGAGATAAGTGTGTGATTGGTTGGGGAAATATTCACACTTCAGTGATGATTGTCTATACAGGCCTGTACACAGCCACACGAAGATAGACGCACAGAGACACATGTTTTCAGCAGCGTGGATCTATTGCAGTGTGGGTCTGTCAGTCTGTCTCAACAGTTACTGGCTGGATTGCCACGACATTTGAGATTGACATTCATGGTGCAAATATGTCTAAATCATCTGACTGTGTAGGATGCCCTGACATTTCACCTAGCGCCACTCAGAGATGGACATTTTCAGTACATCAACTGTACTTAGTCTTAAGTACAAATGTTACAACGGTAACGTGCTAAACTAAGATGGCCGGCATGGAAAACACTTAAACGTTGTGAGCATATTAGCATTCAGCAGCACTTTCAGCTTTACAGAGACTTGTTTGTTCATCCATCCATTCACCCATTATCTATACCTTTTATCATTTAAGATTCTCGAGCATGATGGTTCTTTATCAATAAGGCTAACATAAAGGAGCCTGTGTGTGCAAGTGCTGTGTTAGTAATATGGTGAACTGAATACAGGTGATTACAATTTCTTCACTAATAAGAGTTTTTGAAGAGTGAAATTGAAGTATGTTACATACTGTATGTAGTGTGTGGTTGCACAACATTCAGGACAAACCCACATGTTCTTCTTTTGCTGTTTGCTTATGTTTTATTTCCTCAAGTGTTGGAGCAGAAGGTGAAGAGTGGGAATGATAGGAAAAGCCAGTGGATGTGATTTGTCAGTGTGGGATGTCTTTGCTTTTATCTGCCATTATTGTTATCCAAAAACTAGAGAGTCATGACAGTCAGATGAGTTTTGTAACAGGGAGAATGACTCGGGGAAAGCATCACAATGAAGCATCTTTAAAACCTGACACAGGGCTCATTATCTTTGGCCCTTGTGAAGCTCATGTTATCATTGCTGTTTCATTAGCTCACATTTGAAAACATGTCCATCTGTTCTCCACTGCAGAACAAACAAAAACGCCTTCAAACACACATTATTCTTAAACTTATGTACTGGTCGTGCACCATTAAGTCATTGCAATGTCTCCTAGCTGCCCTCTCTTACAATATGATCTATACATATCTATTCCCTGCATTTTGTCAATTGTTTGTTTATGACAACCCCTTCCTGCGTCATCCTGAGTCGATTTAATTGATTTGAGATATTCTGCTTGAGGCCGGGATATTGAATTATACGTTAGTTCGCATAAATAGCATTCATATAATTAAATATACATAACATATATGTTATTCAGGATTGTTTTAAACATTTGGATAAATGCACTTGGAAGATCTTTCAGTAATAGTAGGTATATTTAAATGAAAGAGTAGAGCAAGAGAAGAATGTAGAAACCCAGAGAAGGGTAAGTTAATAAATGTGGAGTTAAGTCATAATATATAGTAAATATGAGGCTCTCAGACAAGCTTGATAGGTCAAAGCAAATTAGAGAAGAAATCAGGTAGAAGAACTGCTGGATTGAAATCCTGATTGTGTGTCAACACTATTGCGTTATTTGGTTGAATGAACACTTAAGCCTGCATTTAGTTTTTAAGAGCCATGTCCCTTTGCCCTGGTCATAATTCGATGTTGAGATCCTCACTGTGCTGCACATCATTTTATTATCTGAAGGCCAATTTTTTTGTCGACTTTGATCAGCTGTTCCCACGGTTATTGGCGCACAAAGACAGTTTGCCCTCAGCAGGCCTTTCAGGGAGCCACACCTGCAACCTGGGAAACCGCAGCAGTGTTAAACATGAGCAGCCTTTGATCGCCCTGTTCTTGGTTGGATTGAAGGGATCAAAGAGGAAGTCTGTCTTTTTGCCACTGCTGTTTTTGTAATGAGCCTTTTTTGGCTTCCAGCAATCAGGATTGTAAAATGGAAATTAAACTTTGCAGTTTGTGCTGGCTGCAGCCGTTATGGTGCAGGTTACTGTGAGAGATGTCAGCGCTCACACACCGCAAACAGACTGGGATGAGTGCTGCGAGTCTGTCAGTGAAATGTCTCCGTCATGGGAATCAAATAGATGCAAAATCAATGTTTATTGTGTTAGAGCTAAGAAAGTGCTGTAGCCTACAAAAAGGAGATGACCACTCTGATTCAACCATACGTTGCTGTGTCCATTATCGCGCCCTGATATCTGCAATATATCAAAATATCACTGGAGAACAGTTTTGAAGTGCTTCATCAAGATGGGCGCTCGTGACTGTGAATAATGACGCAGCAAAGGGCTTGTGCATATTGTTTCCTGTGAATCTATAGTTCTCGATAGCTACTCATTGATGAGTGTGGGTGCAGTAATTACCATTAAAGTGTTCATCATCTCTTTTAGAGACTACAGCAAAGGATGCAGAGAAACAGTGACTCTGTAAGAAGCAGAGTGTATCAGTAACTCATCAGCTTTAAAACAGTAAGAAGAGCAAACTACTTTAAATAGCCGCCCAGCCTCGACCACAGCATTTCCCAGCTGTGTCCAGCTGTGCTGCCGATCCTGGGTCAGAGATGGAAATGTATGTGAAACAGACCATAAGCAGATGGTGGATGCTGGAGTTGAGCACAAAACAAATTGTTACCAAGCAACTAAAGTACAATTTTATCATCATCGAAGGAGTAGGTATTGAAGTGGGTCTATTTGTGCTTCTGTGTGTGTGTGTGTGTGTGTAAAGCCGCACACTGCGGCTTGGTTCCTGTATTTAAATGTTTGTACTGTAGCTGCAATATTTGTCAAGATTTTCAGGAGCAAAGAGTCGGCGTGGCTGCCTGTGTTCTTTCTGCCCTGTCGTCCTTCCTGTCTCTCTCTTTCCCTCAAAGGTTCACATATGTGCTCCGCTTCCTTCCTCCCCGTCTTCGGGCTCCTCCACTATACCACAGACTAAATGTCAGGGAAATGTCACATTAATTATTCTCCTGGAGATTCCGGGCCCAATTTGAAGCTTCCTTCTGTTTACCTCCTCGTTCTAAACCACAGCATTGTCTGTCTTTTGCTCAAATCAGATTTGAGTCCCCATTAAATGAGATTGTCTGACCCCTGGCTGGCAAAGCAGGAGGCTTCCTGATCATAAGATCAGCGCCAAGAATCTTCTTTTCCCCTGCAGTAGTGTTTATGTAACAACAGCCGAGATTGAGTGGTTTCTGTCATTACTAATACAGGAACTGATTGACAGGAGGCTGGGAATAAAACGTAACAAGCCAATAATCTTCATTTACAGTCTCACATTCAGAAAAGCAGGAATTTAAAAAGTGGTGATGTAAATATATATCATTAGGCTAATTATAGTCTAAGATTTACAATTTTAAGTACAATTTATTTGGCAGCGAAAAAGGACATATCTTAATCAAATATACATGGGTTTGAAACGGTGAAGTTCTGTCAAGAATATGTCATGAGAATATAACCGTAAATCTAAAGCCATGATGGCCAATTAGCCAGATTTCACTGTCTTCAGGAACAATTAAAGATGCAGTTCCTGAAAATCTTTACCCTGAATTCTTTCAAGGGTGAAGTTCTGTTTTCAGTGTCATAAAATACTGCCACACCAATTTAGTCTCTGTGTCCATAGAAACTTTTATTTCAAGGACATAGGTACATTTTTTTGAGTTTGGCTTCAAATCTAAGGAAACCCAAGCTGAACATGAATGTTGCTGTCATTTTTGTCCACCATGCATCCAAAAAATTGAGAAATACCACTTCCTCCTCTGTCAGGAGGTATTGTGCATCAGATGGCAGGCAACAAATTCCAATTATGCTCCTCTCATGTCACACTTAAGATGACATATAAATGTGCTTTGGCCGTATTCCTGCTCATAAATCAGTCTGCAGCCAAATCCAAGGCATGAAGATGCCAGACTAGAATCTATCACAACATCTGACAGCTGAAAAGTCACAACCAGGACGATAATGTACAGCGAGTCGAGAATGCTGTGTCCCAGTTGGGGCTGGATCATCCAATCTGCATATATTTAGAAGGAATATCTCCTAAAGAGAAGCGTGTCCTATATTAAAGGGCCCTGTTGTCTGTGGGTTTCTTTTGGACACATTTTCCCAAATCCCATGAAACTATTTTGCAGAGGCTGGAGTATTCAGGCAATCATCACCAAGGCTAGACACCCTCATCGGGGTCAGATGCACATACTCAGTATAGCCTTCATATCCTCATTAGGATCCAGACCTGAACTCATTCTTTCAAGGTCACCAATGATCATAATTAACATATGAGCTATCATACTCAATCTACCACAGAAAAGAAATATATGTGTAGGACTGGGGCTATGATTGTAAACTATTATGTATGACAAAAAACACAAACTCTGCCTATTCATGTACAGAGTGTAAAGTATATTTCTAATCTCTAAAGTCCCCAGAACAGTTGAATAATGAATAATTTACCCACTTTGTCAAACTTGTTGTTCCCATCCAACATTTAAGTAGGTGGAGACAATGTTTGGGATGATGCTTGATTACTGCAGTATGTGTCAGTGAAGTGTCTATAGCAGCCATAACCTTTTTCCTATCAAGGGTCATTTCATTTTACAAAATCCTTGACAGATGGTGTGATAGAGTTCTGCCTTTGATTGATGTTTTATTTTCTTAGATAATAGCTCCCTCACTACCGAGCTTGTCCACATGGCATTTTCTCTATCAGAGTGAGATTTTGTGAAAGATGCTTGTTGGGCACCCGAACTCTAAACTTGTAAAAGTACATTTGTCTTTTCAACTCAAGCAGTTTAGCTTGTTTCCAGCTGTAACGACTCTTGAGATTGACCTTTTACATCACTGCGAGTGCATCCCTTCAACCTAGACCTTTACTTTGACAAAAACAATAGTCTTTTGTCCTTTTCTCTGGGAACACACATCAACCTGACCATGACCTGACGGGCAGACAACCAGAAGGGACCGCTCTGAAGGACATGTCTACTATTCTCTTTTAGCTCTCAAAAAATATTAATG